AAATAACAAAATATGTGAATTTAATGCACAAGCGTTTATGAAGTTGACAATTTTCACAGCGTCATTAAGTACAGATAAAAGTTAATCTGGCATGTTTTCCATTGCTAGAGCTTCTTGGTGGATGTTGCAGTGTACCCAGGAAACCGATGATGCAACTTTTCAGATGAAAGCTATGAATATAGTAAGTGAAAAATAATTACGTATGTACGATCACTTAGCGACTAATGGGTAAGGGCGGGGCTATTGTGACGCAGACGTGAAATGGCGAGATGAGTATGCATAGGTTGTAAATTACAATTTGTAATGTGATTTCCTTTCTCTCAAAAACATGACGTAAAGTTTACCCAAGATAAATGGATAATAACAATAAAAGATAACAATTTCCGCCATTACAAACATTCTCTCGCGCTACCCTGGTGGTCCGACTTAGCAACCCAGTTTGGGAAGCGCTGCTCTATGTGATGTGTTGTGTTCAGTTTAAATATAATTTTGTTTGGTCATTTTGGTTTCCTCAGTAATAAACATGCATTTACACGATACAGTTTTTAAAGATGTCAACAATGCATCGTGATAAGCATAGCCCATAGGCTGCAAATATTAAGCAAATATAGACCTAAATATTACATTATTTACCCTGTAGGCCTAGTGGCCTATTAAACTGCTTTGAGGTAAAAATTATTTCTAAATGCTTTAATTTTAATTCAGAATATTATACAAATTGTAATGGAATTCGTTATAAGAACACAGGACAAGAGACTTTTAATATAAGTGAATCAAAACGTCTCTCACTCTGAACTAGCTCATTTAGATTGTTTTCCCAACCGACAACTGCCGCTCATAAACCGAATATGAACCGTTAACTATTTTATTAATAAAAAAATATATATTAATTGACGTGTTTGTGCCTGACACATTAAATACACCTATTGCATTTTAAAATATTGATTTATTTTAATATGCAAACAACAACATAGAACATATTATCAACAGAAATATTCACACACCTGCAGTGTTTCCAACAGCAAAAAAAGAATAAACTAAATAAAAAGATTAAAATAAATAGGCCTGCTGAAATAGTTTTTTACTAGTTAAATTACAAATTTGGATTACAAAATGAAACACTGCCTGAATCCTTTATAAGGCATTCGATGTATATTTCCAATCATATTTTAGGCTGTTTTTTCCCATCAAATTTAAAAGCAGGCTATCTCAAATCAATCGCTCTACAGAAATAAGGATTTAATTAATGCTTTGCTGTAATTCTTAGCTATATTATACTGCCTGTCAACATTTTTAATAGAAGTCATTATTTTAAAGATTATCTCTTCAGCATTTGATTTTTACCACTTCAGATGAGAAAATGTTTTAGTTAAACTGTCATCAGTAGCACAGAAATATCAGTATATCAATAAAGGCTTTGCTGAAAGGCTGGTCATCTTACCAGTAGCAAGGTATACAAATATAGCCTAGTTAATGGTAAAGATTTTTTAGTTTTTATTGAAATTGTGTCAGAATGAAAGTCTCAGTTGGGTTAGTTATTAGTAGTTATTATATGTAAAAATAATCAGGATTTATTTAATTTGGAGATTAGGTTAAGTGCACTTTTTTATAAGGACTATTAATAACTGTAATTCTCTACATGGAAAAAAAAGGTTGGTTATTTGTTTGTTGTACTAAATCATTAAAACAATTTCTATTGTATTTATAAGCAGTGCTGCAGTAGACAAATGTAAACAAAATCATATATTAATTATAAAATATATATATATATATATATATATATATATATATATATATATATATATATATATATATATATATTGTCCACTTTAGGTGATTTATAAGAGATGGTCATCTTTCTGTTTTTTTTTTTTTTTTTTAATTAAATTTTTTTTTATTTAGGCTATTTTATTTACCTGAAACAAATATTAATAATCGTTCATCCAAGGCATTGAGAGAGCTTGTTTGTCTTTTATATAAGTGCTGTCTCGGCCGAGGTCTGGCCGTGCTTGGGATGCACACTCTTGTCCTGGTTTTATGTTAGCACATGGCTTGTGTTGTTTCTATGTGTCATGCACTCTCCTGTCTATTGTCTAATCCCACCCTCCTTGTTAATACATTTTTAGTGTATCCTGTTCAACTGTCTCTTTCCTGTCAGCCCAGGCTGTTATACTATACTTTGAATTGGTCAAAAACAGTTAATGATTCAAATATAAATTTATCATTAATAATGTTGATAACGGTTAATGATGGCACCTGATGATGTCCACAGAAACACCAAGCAGAGCGTCGATAATTTTATTTAGTAAATAATTATTTTATTTAGTAAAAAAATAAAAGACAAATATTTAAAAATATTTTCATTGCAAACAACATGTTATGACATCACACACTTTAATGATCTATTGCGCGCCAGCATAAAGCATATTGATCACTAATTTCATGTTTCATTCCTGGTGTTGGATTTATTTAGGTTATATGATGTGTGACCTGATATATTTTCAAGTGTTATTTGCAATTTCTCTGCCACAGAGAGTTTGATTTCTACATGCAAACTGTAGAAGTAATTTGTTTTGCAGTTGCTTCAAAAGTTTTAAACTTTCAGAACAATTAGGCCTATCACAAAACCTAAAGCAGGCCTATTTATTTATGTAGATTCATTAAATACAGGCCCCTGGGCTGCAGTTGTAGAAAGTGGCAAAGCTCAAAACACTATAGCATTAACACCTTTAAGGCTGATTTTTACTTCTGCGTCAAACGCCGGCGTATGCTACGGCGTTGACGCATAGCCCTTCGCCGTGGCCGTTGGCGTCGCTGACGTGCACCTCTCAAAAAATGTAACTACACGTCGCAATGGCGCGTAGCGCAAGCAATGTGATTGGTCGGCTTGGTAGCGCTGACGAGTCTGGGCGGGACCAAGAGCCGTGCGAATGGTGCGAGCCTGATGGAGCGATTGTTTACAAGTGTGGAGTACCGTGAAGAAGCTCCGGATGGAAAGTTTGGTTTTGTGTTTACCTCATAGTTAAAGTTGTTGCACATCCGCCGGTTCCTGCCTCAAACTGAGCGAGTTTGAGCCACTTGTACATCCCGGAAGTGTTCAGGAAAAGCAAAACAGCAGCGAAGAAACTCGACACAGAAAAACATTTACACCTCACTGCCAACTAGCGTTTCGGAAGTGTTAATCAGACCAACAGAAACAGACAGAAGTATAAATGCACAGCTACGGGCGTTGTATGCGCCATGGGTTACGCCAGTCACTTGACACAGAAGTATAAACCAGGCTTTTAGACTTACTGCACCATAGGAGTTCTCTCTGCAACATTTGAGTTTGAGGTAGGGAAAAGGAAGCACTGTCACCTTCAAAAGTTTCTTCAAAAGTTTCGCTTTGTGAAAAAAAAGCACTTAATTTATGCTCCACTGTAATTCTTATATCACAATGTCTTTCAACATTTTTAAAGTCATTTTATTTTGAAGATTATGTCCCGAGCTTCTGATTTTACCACAGCCCTTGTGTGATTTCATTTTCTTTATCTCATTCGCAGTGAGTTTAGGTTAGGGACTGATTTTTTAACTGTCCTCTGTGTCACATAAATATCAGTAGGCCTATATTAATATATACAATACAGGCATTAACACATTTAGACTGACTTCTTGTTCTGAAACTGATTTCAGAACAATTATCATCAAACCTTATATAAGCCTTCATTTTATTATGTGAATAATAATAATAATAAAAACATATGTATTATTGTTATTCCTCTTCTTTTTATTATTATTATTATTATTAATTGTATTATTATTAGGCTATTATCTGAAGCAGCCCCTTGAATCTATTTAGTGTTTTCGTGGTTTTTTTCAGTTAAAGCTCAACATTATGCCCCATTAACACTACAATCAGGCTGTCAAACATTTGGTTTGAGATGGGGAAAGAGGGATGTCTCCTGTATTTTTCACAAAGGGAATTAAATTAAAATGGGGTTAATTAAAATGTCTACCAGGGTCGTAGCAAATTAAACTTTACTCAGAATTCAGAATTTAGCCATTATATAAGCTAAAACACAGTCTACAATAATAACTGCAATAAAAACTGCATTGGTTATTGAAGACCTCTCAGGTAGGTTTCATAATTTCTTGTAAAAATTGATCATTTTTCATGTAATATTGATTTAGTTTTGTTTTGAAAACAATTTTTATTTATTTATTTATTTTTTATCAAAAAACACAGAACATAACAGTGAATAGTCACTTGCTGAGCCAGAGCGACAACAGCAGAGAATTCTGCTTGGTCCTAAAGCCTTCACTCATCAGTTATTTTCAAATATGCAAAAATGAAACAAAGTTGGAAAGAGAGAGGGGCAATCCTGTGTTTTTGCAATATTCAGCTGAGCAGTAGCCATTTACTTGCCTTTTGCTTTAGTTCTTTCTTTATTTTTTATTTTTATCTTGTATTCTTTGTGCGCAATTGCAAAACTAGTACCTTTACTACCTGACTCTCCTCCCAAAATGAGCTTAACAATAGACCCATTCTGACATCCTATCAGACAAGCATCTTCGCATTAAACTGTATTTAGGTTCCATTTACACTAAAACATTTTAGTTTAATTCCTATTTCCTATATATTGTATACATTTATTGTACTATATACTTTTATAATGACCATATTAAATAAGTTATTCAAATAAATATTTAGTGTGCCTCAACATTTGCTGTCGGTTTAAGCTGTTAATATCAAAATGAAAAAGAGTCAGTGGGGTATATAACATTTATATAAATTTGACTGCCCAACTTTTCTGCTGTTCTCACTGCTTACTGTCTCGCTTTCAATCCCATAATGAACTGTGTGAGATCTTCCAAATGAATGCATTAGAAATACCAAATACCTTATATATATAGCATTTGTTTTTATTTTTGTTTAATTTGATCATTAAGTTTATTATTTTACTTCATTACAGTGCTCAAAACAACATTTTTGAAGTCTTTTAAATAATAATATGCTGTACCTGAATGTGTTCTGAAGTGTGACATGAGGTTGGTTTTCCCCCTGAACTCTTTCTTGCACACCTGACACTGATGCACTACTGCTTTATACCTGTAAAATTATTGAGAACATAGCAGGCATGGAATTACAGTTCTCAGACACTAAAATTCAACTACGGAATTTTTATTTTTATTATATCAAATAATTTTTACAAAATGTGCCTTTTTGTTTTTAAATTGATGTGTGTTTGCACATACCTTTGCCATATCTTTTCTCCCAGGTGAATGCTTTTGTAATGGACGGTCAAGTGATCGGCACGTCGGAAGCATTTTCCACACTCTTCACACTGGTGTGCTTTTTCCCCTACACAAAGCAGATAAGACTATTAACATACATTTATGTTTTGAGCAAAGCTGTGAGAATAAGTGGTTACAGTTCATTTTCAAATTTCAACTTGGGATCCGCCGGCCACATCAAGTTAAGTCTAGTCGACCTTTATTGTCATTCCTCTACGTGTGTTGACATACAGAGGAACTAAATGTCGTGTCTCGCAGGACTGTTCTACATTTATCATAAATACAAACACAACACGAGACATAAGAGCATTTTTTTTATATGCGTAACTAACATACTATAATATACTTAACTATACAAACAAAACAGGCTATACAAGTACTTTTGCTGAGACTGTAGATGGGATGGGTAGAGTCTTTCACAATACTGCTAGCTTTGCTGCAGCACCATGAGGAAAATGTCCTGAATAGACGATAGAGGGGCACTGATGATCTTTTCAGCTGTGTTCACTGTGCGCTGGAGGGTCTTGTGGTCGGTAGCACTGGAGCTACCGTACCAAACAGAGATGCAGCTGGCCAGCTTAATAGTTCCCCTGTAGAATGTGGTGAGGATTAGTGGAGGGAGACTTGCCCTTTTCAGCTGGCAGACAAAGTGTATGCGTTGTTGTGCTTGGAGAGGGACGTGGTGTTGGTAGTCCAGTCCTCTGTGATGTGCCCCTCCAGGAATTTAGTGCTGTAGACTCTCTTAACAGTCAAGCTGTTGATGGTAAGTGCGGGGTGGTCAACATAGTTTCACCTGAAGTCCAACATAACCTCCTTTGTCTTCTCTACATTGAGGGAGAGGTTGTTAGTGGCACACTTTTCAGCCAGCTGTGCCACTTCTTCCCGTGTAGTGCATTTCATTGTTGCTGATGAAAAATGCTTCCAGGTTGTTACCGGCTACAGCTTGCAAAGCGCGTCTTTTGTGTTTGCATTTGGCGGGATGTAAACCACAACAATAACAATGGCCGTGAACTCCCGTGGCACATAAAACGGACAGCACTTAACGAGCATTAACTCCACCAGTGATGACCAGTGTTTTGTCGTGAAGGGTGTTCCTGCACAACTGGAGTGGCTGCACTGTCAGGACCGCATTTTTAGGACCACATCTTTAGGACCCTAGTTTTTTTTGACAGCGTCACCTGTCGAATTGGATCATGGATGTGCTAATGGATGACACGGATGACAAGGAAAGTGTAAGTACCGATTTTCTATTAAGTTTTATTTAAAACTTTTAAAGTATGTGTTTATTTTGTAATGCAGCTGTTCTTTACTGTGAGTTTATGCAGAAATGTCAGATTAGCCTGCATGATTTACCTCACTTTCAAGGGTCTGGGACAAAAATGTTACGAGATGATTTTTTTTCCAGAAGAATAATAAAATATAATAATAATAAATATGGATAATTTTACACAGCCAGAGTGAGCGCTGCTAAAACTGTTAACAATTTTCTAGAGTTCGTTTTCTAGTTTGATTAAATGCTACGACGTTAGTAGTTCGTGACCATGGTTTAATGAAACATTGTTGATTTAATGGCTTGTTGACTTAACGGCTAATGTGCTTAGTGTCACATGCATTAAACTAAGATGGTAAAAGCACGTTGATGTGAGAGTTTCAGATTTATCTATATTATGAATTTGTGTAAAAACCTCTACTCAACGTTGTATTACATTAGCACATTAAAAATTGTTCTGACTGCCTGTTTGCCCCACAATATGTGTTATTAGCCTGATGTTTTGTCATCGTTTTACAGTGATGAATGAGATGTTTGACGGTGTTAAAAGTTAGGCTTATTCTGCAGGCCTTAACCATATAGTGTCTCATATCTTTGTGAATAAGAAGTGATGGCCAATATGATTGGATTGCTTAGGCTCATTGTAGGAAGAAAAGAAAAACAAATACAGGAATATTTTCCTTGAGGTTATCTTAAACTATTGAGTAACACTTTATAACATCTGCATACTATAAATAATTATTGAGCAATTAATAACTAGTTAATTTATTAACATTTTATTTGTTTAGCATTAACTCTACATTTAATATACATTGATAAGCAGTTTATAAATACAGTTACAAATGCTAGCTGTGTTCTTGAGTTTCTAGCATATCAATGATGAAGTGCACCTTATCTGTGGTGTTCATTTTCCAGAGGAATGTCTGGCCAAATAAGTATATAAACTGCATGCTGGGTGCTACTCATTTATGAACCCATGTAAAATGATTTGCTGTTCTGTGGTGGTATTTTAGTCCATATTTAAACGATTTTTTTTTTCATAGGCCATCGTACATGCTCTGGGTGTCTTGAGGAGCTTGTCTTTGGATGATGCTGAGCAGGTCTTTCTTTCTGGTAAAGATTATCATTACAGGTCAGAATGTGGTTAATTTTTGCACAATGCTCAAAGAGCCTTTTTGTTACTGGTATATATGTTAACTCAACAGTGATTGTTTTCTATTTCAGTGAAGTAAAAGAATTTAACAGACAAACAACTGACGAAAGAAGAGAGACCATTCAATAGGTGGGTATTGCTCTTATATACTTAAAAATATGAAGTTGGGAGTAGGTGTCCTGTTTGGTTCTCCCAACAGTGCATAAGCTTAAGCCAGAAATTATATATATACTGTATATAACACTGTAAAGCAAATGTTTGTTATTTTACCTCTTATATTAAATATTGCATAACAATTGGTTAACCTTTGAGTTCATATACATGATTTTACATATTCAAGAATATATATATATTCATTCATTTTCTTTTCGGCTTAGTCCCTTTATTTATCAGGGGTTGCCACAGCAGAATGAACCGCCAACTTATCCAGCATATGTTTTACACAGTGGATGCCCTTCCAGCCGCAACCCAGTACTGGGAAACACCCATTTACACTCATAGTGTACACTTGAACACGGGGAGAACATGCAAATTCTACACAGAAAGGACCACTGGCCCAGCCGGGGCTTGAACCAGCAACCTTCTTGCTGTGAGGCGACGGTGCTAACCACTGTGCTGCCCTATGTGCTCTATGCGGGTGAGTGGGATTGACAAACCACCTGGAGGACACACTCTTGCTGTCTTAATGCACCAGACATTTTGTTATAAATAATCATGTGCGTTTCATGTTTATTCATATAACTACTATTTTATGTCATAGCACTTCATTTTTGTCTTGATATTTAATATGTCTTGTTTAAATACACTATGAACAGCAGCTGCGCTAATTAATTTCCTTGTTCCCTATTTCCACCTGGGGATATTCATCCCTAGGCCTCTAGAGATCGTGACCTGTGAAGAGATGATGCCACCATAGAGGACTTCTAAATGTATCCATAATCCTGAAACAGACCGTATCATGAGCAGATGCTGTGGTGGTCATGGAGGAGTAGAGAGCATGAGACTGATTAATGAAAGACCCCAGTGACAGATGAGTGCCCGCATTGATCCTGTGGTCCAGCCTGAAAACCCGCTGGTGACCTACTCACACCTGCAGCTTCTCCACGATGGACGCCCAGTGTTCTTTAGCCTCCAGCGCCTAGACTGCAGCTCTGCACGTAAAGTGTGGCCAGAGGAGAAATGGTTGTGCCCAACTGAGCCTGGTTTCTCTCAAGGTTTATTCCTTCACTTTCATCAATTGGTAAAGTTTTGTTCCTCCACTGTCGCCATTGGCTTGCTTGGTTTAGGACTTGTGGAACTGTGCATCGATGGATTTGCTTTTCAGTGTTTGGACTTTCAGCAGTGAAAACTAAACCACACTGAACTGAACTGAATTTAATAAATGTTAAGCTGCTTTGACACAATCTACATTGTAAAAGTGCTTTAGAAATAAAGATGAAACTAATTGAAATTGAAATTGAATTGAATATTGAACACGTTTCCATTTTTCTCAGAAAACATATTTATAAAAGTGCTGTTGACTTGAAATTTTTACCAGATGTTGATAACAATTTGTAAAGTAATTAATTTGTTTTCTATTCATATATTTTTTTTCTTTGGTTTTCAGGTCAATAGCACCTTTAGAAATATGTTTTCTAAGAAAAATGGGAACGTGTTGAATACTTATTTACCCCACTGTGTGTGTGTGTGTGTGTGTGTGTGTGTGTGTGTGTGTGTGTGTGTTTGTGTGTGTGTGTATGTGTATGTGTGTGTGTGTGTGTGTGTGTATGTATGTATATGTATGTGTATATATATGTATATGTATATACATGTTTGTGTGTGTGTGTGTGTGTATACTTGAGCTCTCTCCTTTTCTCTCTTTCACAGGAACTAAAGTCTACAGCCAGTCTGAATGCAGCAACTGAATAAACAGTGGGGTCTTTTTTTTGGTTGAATTGCAATAATAAAAAAAGAGTGTGTGGATATTTAGATTACATTTCATACATATTTAAATGTACATTATTGAATCATTCTTGTGTCTTGACTCTCTGAAACCTTTACAACCTGGTTTTAAATTGGTAACTGCAACTGCTGATCCCATTTGATTTCAGTTTATTGTCCTTAATACTGAGTTAATTAGTTCAATGTATTGGGGTTCATCAATATACAGTATTTTTCATGGAATTTAAGACTTTTAAGGCACTCAACTCTATTTATTTATTTATATTTTAGGTGTAAATTCATCGTTTCATTTTAAAATCATTACTTAAAGCAGGCGTTTTACACTTTAACCTCTGGAAAAAAAAGTGCCTGAAAGTTTCCGCTATATAATCCAATTCGGTAGGTGGCGCAGTTACAAAACAGGTCCTAGAAATGCAGTTTCACTATGTCATCCAATCCGGTAGGTGGCGCTTCCACAAAAAACTAGGGTCCTAAAAATGCGGTCCTAAAAATGCGGTCCTGAGAGTGCAGCTACTCCAGTTGTGCAGGATTATACTATTGGTTTTGTCACTACCACAGTACCTTTGAAGCATTCTTTGTTTATATAAACACACAGGCCTCCTCCGTGAGTCTTACCAGACAATATTGTAACTCTGTCTGTGTGGTAGCATGTTAGTCCGTGTGGCTCAATGGCGGAGTCTGGGATGTTGTCATTTAGTCATGTTTCGGTAAAAACCAACACAAAAATCCCTTGCCTCATGTTGTGTAGATCTGGTAAGTTGTATTATGTCTAGTTTGTTTTAAAGCGAGTGTACATTTAAGAGACTAAGTGTTGGAAGGGCAGGTCTTGTGGGGTTAGCCCTTAGCTTGGTTCGTAAGCTGCCGCGCTTGCATCGATTTTGTTGTCGCCTTCTGCGGGTAGTATCTGATCGAGAGGCCGCGGTTCGCCTCCAGCAGTAAACAAAGGCCTCGTACCTTCTTAGCCATCACTGGTGAGTTTGTAATAATGGTAGGTGAATGTATCTACAGGGAGTGCAGAATTATTAGGCAAGTTGTATTTTTGAGGAATCGTTTTATTATTGAACAACAACCATGTTCTCAATGAACCCAAAAAACTCATTAATATCAAAGCTGAATATTTTTGGAAGTAGTTTTTAGTTTGTTTTTAGTTTTAGCAATTTTAGGGGGATATCTGTGTGTGCAGGTGACTATTACTGTGCATAATTATTAGGCAACTTAACAAAAAACAATTATATACCCATTTCAATTATTTATTTTTACCAGTGAAACCAATATAACATCTCCACATTCACAAATATACATTTCTGACATTCAAAAACAGAACAAAAACTAATCAGTGACCAATATAGCACCTTTCTTTGCAAGGAAACTCAAAAGCCTTCCATCCATGGATTCTGTCAGTGTTCTGATCTGTTCACCATCAACATTGCGTGCAGCAGCAACCACAGCCTCCCAGACACTGTTCAGAGAGGTGTACTGTTTTCCCTCTTTGTAAATCTCACATTTGATGATGGACCAAAGGTTCTCAATGGGGATCAGATCAGGTGAACAAGGAGGCCATGTCATTAGTTTTTCTTCTTTTATACCCTTTCTCGGCAGCCACGCTGTGGAGTACTTGGACGCGTGTGATGGAGCATTGTCCTGCATGACAAACCATGTTTTTCTTGAAGGATGCAGACTTCTTCCTGTACCACTGCTTGAAGAAGGTGTCTTCCAGAAACTGGCAGTAGGACTGGGAGTTGAGCTTGACTCCATCCTCAACCCGAAAAGGCCCCACAAGCCCATCTTTGATGATACCAGCCCAAACCAGTACTCCACCTCCACCTTGCTGGTGTCTGAGTCAGACTGGAGCTCTCTGCCCTTTACCAATCCAGCCACGGGCCCATCCATCTGGCCCATCAAGACTCACTCTCATATCATCAGTCCATAAAACCTTAGAAAAATCAGTCTTGAGATATTTCTTGGCCCAGTCTTGACGTTTCAGCTTGTGTGTCTTGTTCAGTGGTGGTCGTCTTTCAGCCTTTCTTACTTTGGCCATGTCTCGGAGTATTGCACACCTTGTGCTTTTGGGCACTCCAGTGATGTTGCAGCTCTGAAATATGGCCAAATTGGTGGCAAGTGGCATCTGGCCGCTGCACACTTGACTTTTCTCAGTTCATGGGCAGTTATTTTGCGCCTTGGTTTTTCCACACGCTTTTTGCGACACTGTTGACTATTTTGAATAAAACGCTTGATTGTTCGATGATCAAGCTTCAGAAGCTTTGCAATTTTAAGAGTACTGCATCCCTCTGCAAGATATCTCACTATTTTTTACTTTTCTGAGCCTGTCAAGTCCTTCTTTTGACCCATTTTGCCAAAGGAAAGGAAGTTGCCTAATAATTATGCACACCTGATATAGGGTGTTAATGTCATTAGACCACACCCCTTCTCATTCCAGAGATGCACATCACCTTATATTCTTAATTGGTAGTAGGCTTTCGAGCCTATACAGCTTGGAGTAAGACAACATGCATAAAGAGGATGATGTGGTCAAAATACTCATTTGCCTAATAATTCTGCACTCCCTGTACTGCCAATTTCCAAATGGCTTTGGTGATTGTAGATATGTACCTTGTTGATTTCCTTGTGAGTCTGTGGTGAGCTGACAGTATTTAAGGATGAACTTATTACATTAAAAGACATGAAAGTTTTATTAAAGGAAGGATCTATACCAAAGACTTTCGACGTATGGGACTTTGTTAGGACACAGCTTTGTCTAAAACACTAATAAAATGTCTAATAATACATGTTAAATGTGATGCTTGATGCCTCTTTTACAAATTTAACTCGCATCTGAGGTGTGCTCCCATTGCGTATGTTGTTGCTAGGTCACCATCAGCTGTTTTTACACACAGGACATAGAAAAACTACATTTTAAACACATTCGCTTTCATTTTAATGGCTTGAGCAATGCTGCCCAGAACAATGAGCACCTTGAACGAGCTTGCACATACTCAGATCAAATTGAAATAATTTAACTTTTGCAGCTGTGTCGATTATTACTGACTGTATGTCATTGTTATTACTATGGATTAGACTAATGCAATATGTTTTATCAATGCGATAAATATCAGATTCAGGCTAGGCCAGTAGTCTGTATTTTTTAACAGAGCAGCTGGAGTACTGGAGAAACAGAACATCATACCTCTGGGTTTTAAAGACCCTGAGCAGTTGTTTGCAACCCCAGATCTGTAAGTAACACAGTTTGTCTCCTAAAAGAAAGTGTTCATCGCCTTGTTCAAAAATATTGTTTCTATTCAATGTGTATTCATGTAAAAAAACAGTGGTTCCCACCCAATTCTTGAATTGAGACATCTGAATAGGTTTCTAAAGGTTCTACGGAGGTTCTATGTTTTTTTCAGTCTGTGTTGAAGACAGATTGGTTTATGAGCATCGACCTGAAAAAAGAAATATTTTCA